TATTATTGATAACAAGTTCAGAACCCAAACACCCTAATTCTAGTCTCAGCTCTACCCCTTACACATTGTGGATTAGAACAAACCATCAACACCCCTTTAGCAACAGCTCCACCATCTAACAGGAACCAGGACCTCCTTCCTATGTGCCCCCCAGGTCATCCTGAGGAGCACGCAGACAGACAGAGGGACACACAGAAAACAAAGAAGGACTCATTCTAAGAGCAGCAAGCCCTGCACGGGTCTCTGACTTACACTGGGTCTATTTTATCTGTGTGAGAGGGACTTTCAACAGCCCAGGGGACCCCACCAGCTGCCCCACTCTGAGAAGACAGATGTCTCTGACTTAAGATCTAAACGTTTTCACCCTTAATAAGATCTAATATCTACAGATGCATGTTTTAGGGGCTGGAGCAATATTACAGTGATTAGGGCACTTGCCTTGCACATGGCCGACCCAGGTTCAATCCCCAGCATCTCATATGGCCCTTGAGTACTGCTAGGAATGATCCCTAAGCATGGAGTAACCCCTGAGAGGTAACCCCTAAGAATAGCCAGGTGTGGCCCAAAAACAAAACCCCCAAAATATGTATGTATGTTTTATACAATAAAGTCCTGCATTGAACAAATGATTTCATCTGATACCCAAATTACTGACTGAAGATACAGAAAAAAAAACCATCATTAAAAAGAAAACTCAATTGTGCCACATGTGTGTGGGGGTGGGGAGTGAACTATATGGGGGAAGGTAAGGTAAAGGTAAAGGTAAAGGCCCTCCCATTGATCGTCGATTTGCTCGAGCGGGCCCAGTAACGTCTCCATTGGAGACTTTGTTGTTACTGTGTCTGGCATATCCAATACTCTCGGTAGCTTGCCGGGCTCTCCGAGAGGGGCGGAGGAATCGAACTCTGGTCGACCATGTTGGCCGCTTATAAGGCGAACGCCCTACCACTGTGCTATCGCTCCAGCACAGCAGGTAGGGCGTTTGCCTTGCATGCGGTTGACACAGCCGACCCAAGTTCGATTCCTCCGCCCCTTTCAGAGAGCCCGGCTCTGGCCCCATATGGGGGAAAGTGGGGGTCAATACCAAATCTGTCCCTAATGTAGACATTGGCTGGCATGGCCAATTTCTAGGCATAATGATGACCATGACAGACCAAATTTAGAATCTGTCCACATGTGGTATTTAGCTCTATGATGTCTATTAGGAAAATCTACCTTCATTTCAGTCTTTTACTTTTTTTATTATTTATATCTTTATTTTGGTTTGAGGCACCACAACCCAGTGGTGCTCAGGGTTTACTCCGGTCTCTATGCTCAGGGATCACTCCTGGGGTGCTCAGAAAACTGTATGTGGTGCTGGGGTCTCAAAGCAAGGTCTGCCATGTGCACAAAAATGCTTTAAGTCCAGTACTGCCTCCCTGGCTCTATATACTATATACTACATACTGTCTTTTATTTTTCTATATATGAAGAAATACTAAGGAGATTTTATTCAGGGGGTAGGAGGTGGTTGGTGTTATACTTTTAATTTTAGCATACCAGCAATGATTTTCTCAATGAACTTATAATTTTTGTTTGATGAATTGGTTTTTCAAACTTTATTATTTTTGTTCAAGATTTTTACTATAATTTTATTCATTGGAAGAAACATCCTATTTATGTTTGAGTACATTTTGTGTTACACAATTTTTTTTCTAGCATCAATTTTAAGTATACAAAATATTTAGCACTGTTTATATTCTTTTGCCCCTGGTAACTCATTTATTTCTATTCTTCCTTTTATACATCATATATATACATCAGATTGCCACACGTCGTTAGTGCACAACTTTTGCATTCATATTACAATTTTATATTTATTTACTTTTTTTAATGGTTATTTGAGGCATTAACTATTTCCTCTTACTCGGGTACTTACTACTGACCTGGTCCCTCTGGAGCCAGAAGCAGGAACCCTCTACCTGGAAAGCTTGCAAAGATTAAAAGTGGCACTACACCACGCAAGTCCACATTAAACAATGATGTCACAATGTACAAGTCTGTTCTTAATGACTATGATCTTAATGACTAGCCATGACTCCTATCACTGCTCCTTTCTCTCCAAAACACTATACTCTGAATTAAAATACGACAAGTCAAATCCAGCTTTATCACTGTCACTGTCACTGTCACTGTCCTCCTCTGAGAGGAACGGAGGAATCGAACCCAGGTTGGCTGGGTTGGCCTCATGTTTGACCCGAGTTCGATTCCTCGGCCCCTCTCGGAGAGCCCGGCAAGCTATTGGGAGTATCTCCCCCGCACGCCCATGATGTATTTGCTATGCCAAACACAGTAACAAGTGTCACAATGGAGACGTTACTGGGCCCGCTGGAGCAAATCGATGAACAACGGGAGGACAGTGCTACAGTGTCAGCTTTATAATTTTCCCAAAAAAGTCACATTTCTATGTGAGTCAGTTGGATTACCAAAATGCTAGTCCAGAAAGTCACATATTTTTCAATAAAAAGAACAGACAAATTATATTCCTTTAAAAAGAACAATAATGTATGCACAGCCTGAGATTTGCCTGTAATTCTGGGACAAAACGAAGTCAATATTCAAGTTAGAAATGTAGGCACCAGATATAGTATAGTACAGAGAGCAGGATGTTCGCTTTGCATGCGGCCACCTGGTGTTCAATGCCTGGCATCCCATTTAGTCCCACTGAGCACCACCAGGAGTAATTCCAGAGTGCAGAGTGAGGAATATCTTTGAGCATCTCCAGGTGTGGCCCGCAAACAAATAAAAATACAAAATAAAATTAGAAATGTATCCTCAAGGTCCATGCTTACTGAAAGAAAACCAACTCAATAACGTGGATGAAAGCTGCAATGAAGAACAGACATAAGGGGCCTAAATTCTAGACATTTGCTTTCTGAAGCTGATTGACTTTAAATCATTAACCACTCTGAATTTTGTCTACAATCTATGCAATTACATATATTTTTATAATATAATGAGGGCTGTTCTAACTGTAGAAAATGTAAAACAAAAAAAACTTTTTCCAACAGCCACTTGATAAAAAAAATACTTATGGATATAAAATTTAGTGCCTTCGCCGCTGGCCAAGCAAGTGAAAACAGAGATAGACAAATGGGACTATCTTAAATTAAGAAGCTTCTGCACCTCAAAAGAAACAGTGACCAGAATACAAAGACAGTCTACAGAATGGGAAAGAATATTCGCTGAATACAGATCTGACAAGGGGTTGATATCAAGGATATACAAAGTACTGGTTGAACCCCACAAAAAGAAAACATCCAACCCCATCAAAAAAAATGGGGAGATGAAAGGAATAGAAACTTTCACAAAGAAGAAATCCGAATGGCTAAAAGGCACATGAGAAAATGCTCCACATCATTAATTATCAGGGAGATGCAGATCAAAACCACAATGAGATAACACTTCACACCACAGAGACTGGCCCGTATCCACAAAAACAAAAGCAACCGATGCTGGCGCGGATGTGGTGAGAAAGGGACACTCCTTCACTGTTGCTGGGAATGCCGACTGGTTCAGCCCTTTTGGAAAACAGTATGGACGATTCTCAAAAAATTAGAAATTGAGCTCCCATTTGATCCAGCAATACCACTTCTGGGAATATATCCCAGAGAGGCAAAAAAGTATAGTCGAAGTGACATCTGCAATTGCCTGTTTATTGCAGCACTCTTTACAATCGCCAGAATCTGGAAAAAACCTGAGTGTCCGAGAACAGATGACTGGTTAAAGAAACTTTGGTATATTTACACAATGGAGTACTATGTAGCTGTTAGAAAAGACGAAGTCATGAAACTTACATACAAGTGGTACTACATGGAAAGTATCATGTTAAGCGAAATGAGTCAGAAAGAGAGGGATAGACATAGAAAGATTGCATTCATCTGGGGAACATAAAGTAACAAAATAGGAGACTAACACCCAAGAATGGCCGAGATCAGTACCAGGAATTTTACTCCATGGCTTGGAGGCCAAACACACATGCTAGGGAAAAAAGGGAGCTCAGAGAAGGGAACACCAAATAAAGGTGTTGGGAGGATCCTCCCAGGATGGGAGAAGCATGCTGAAAGTAGACTATAGACCAAACATGATTATCACCCATTGCCTCTTTTGCAAACCACAACATCCAATAAGAGAGAGAGTGAGCAAAAGGGAATGCCCTGCCACAGAGGCAGGGTGGGGTGGGGGGGATGGGGAGTGGGAGGGATACTGGGATCCGTGGTGGTGGGAAATGGGCACTGGTGGAGGGATGGGTATTTGATCATTGTATAATTGAAACCCAAGCACAAAAATTTGTAAGTCAAAAATAAATAAATAAAAAATAAAAATAAAATTTAGTGCCCTTGGTCATCTTTTGAAATCTTAAATTTGTGTTTTTGGTCTGAAATGGATATATTCTTGCCAACTGCAGTATGGAAAGAAAAGGTAGAGACAGGATATCACGCTTATAATTTTAATAGCAAATGGCAGATTAAAAATAACCAGTGATATAAGGTCAATGATAAAATACCTAATTGTATCATTTGAAGATGGATCATAGTTTTCAAGTTCTAAACAACAGTTTTCGGGGAGTCAGAGAGACAGTACAATTAAGGTACACACTTTGCACATGGCCAACTGGAGTTTGATACCTGCTTCCAAAGATCCCTGACCTCCACCAGGAGTAAATCCTGAGCACTGCCGGATGTGACTCAAAAAATAAACCAAAACTATATATATATATACATATATATATATATATTCCTGTAATTCATATCAAATATTAAGAGTAGATAGGAAAACAGATGGGAAAATATTGTGAACATATTAAAGGGAAAATAAAACTGGCAGTACATTTTTGAGATAAGACTTAAGATTACTTGAACAAGTTAAAAAGTCTACCACTAAAAATATTTTTAATCAGACACATATACTGTCCTTGCCACATGTCCTTGCCAACTGTGCAAAGAGATCAACTTTCCTGATCACAATTTTCTCTGACTCAGGGTTTTTCTCAGAGCAAGTTTAACGTCTTTGTTCCGCAAACTATAGATTAAGGGGTTCATCAAGGGAACGGTGTTGGTATAAAACACAGAGGAAATTTTCCCCTGGTCCATGGAAGTGGGAGAAGATGGTTTGAGATACATGAATGAAGCTGATCCAAAGAAGAGAGAAACAGCAACTATATGGGAGCTGCAGGTGCTGAAGGCCTTGGACCTGCCCTCTTTGGAGCTCATGCGAAGGATACTGCAGACAATGGAACCGTAAGAGAAAAAGATGGTGATCATGGGCACGACAATGTTGATACCTACCACAATGATCACAACCATCTCATTGATGTGGGTGTCTGTGCAGGAGAGCTGCAGCACAGGAAGGAGGTCACAAAAGTAGTGGTTGATGGTGCTGGCATCACAGAAGATCAGTCTCAACATGAATCCAGTGTGGGCCAGGGAACCAGAAAATGCCATCAGGTAGGAGGCAAGCATCAGGCTGGCACACACCTTAGGGGACATGGCAATGCTATACATCAGTGGATTGCAAATGGCCACATAACGGTCGTAGGCCATGGACGTCAGCACATAGCACTCAGAAATGGAAAAAAAGCAGAAGAAGTAAAGCTGGGTCATGCATCCTGTGTAGGAGATAACATTCTTCTCTGACACAAAGTTAACCAGCATCTTGGGTGTAAACACGGTAGAATAACAGAGGTCCACAAAAGACAGGTTAAAGAGGAAAAAGTACATGGGGGTCTGGAGATTGGAATTCAGCCCAATAAGAGTCATCAAACCCAAGTTTCCCAACACAGTGACTATATACATTACCAGAAAGATGAAAAACAAGGGAAGCTGGAGAGCTGGTTGGGCTGTTAATCCTGCCAAGATGAATTCAGTCACTAAAGAGCTGTTGGCAGGAGCCATTCTTCTCCAAGGGAATCTGAGAGCACAGGAGAAAAAGTCACATGGTGGACAAATAGGTTTGACCCTCAATATGTCCTCTCACTCACATGGTGTATGCACTGGGAATATCTGAGTCTAGTCCAACTTGGACCCATATAATATGTGTGGGTGCTGGGAGGGAGGAAGGGAGAAAGAGAGGAAGGGAGAAAGAGAAGAAGGGAGAAAGAGAGGGAGAAAGAGAAGAAGGGAGAAAGAGAGGAAAGAAGGAAGGAAGGAAGGAAGGAAGGAAGGAAGGAAGGAAGGAAGGAAGGAAGGAAGGAAGGAAGGGTGTGTGCTTGCATGTGTGTGTGTGTGTGTGTGTGTGTGTCTATCTGTGTCTGTGCCTGTGTGTCCGTGTGATACCAGGGCTTGCATTATCTCTGAGTCACATTCCCTGAGCTACAATTTAGCCTAGGGAGTGCAGGGAATTGCTGTATATACAAACATAGTACTGGTAGAAATAAAGGGTAAAGGAGAACTCTGAAGCATAGCACAATTATCTTTCTCTTGTCTTACCATTTAATTCACCGGAACCCTCTCTTCACCAAAAAAAAATGAAGTACCAACCTCACCTACAAGGATTTGGCCTCTGATACAGATTAAACTTGGTCTAGTATGAACCAAAAACATTTATAATCTAGTAATTAAATTATCAGGGTCTGAGAGAGGTTCCTGCCCCATGTCACAAAATAAAAGTGTGTATACATACACAGAAAGAGAGAGGAGAGAGAGAAAGAGAGAGAGAGAAACCAGCCACTCAGCCATGGAGCGAGAACTTCCTGACTGATATAATACATCACTGAGCTTCCTATAATTTCTAAACATTTCCCCTTCAAAGACATTTTTTAGCTTATTTTACTTGAGTCTCTGGGTAGAATGAAACGAGGATGGAAGCAGCATCTCAGATCCCAGGACTTCTATCTTTCACATGATTATAAAAACAGGATTCAGAAACTCACCCACCGTGGGCTAGACCATCAGTGCACACTCTGAGTCACAGCACATGTAGTCCTAGAGGACCAATTTCAGGGTTTACAAATTTACCCTTTTGATCCTAAGAGAGTTCAGCCCACACTTAATTTCTAATGTGGCCTAGAAATCTTCCAGAACTAAAGATCATCACCTCAAATTATGACCTTTAGCCTTCCCAGCAACAGATAAAAGACACTATTATTAATTATCATTTTTGCTATGAGATAAGTCAAAAAAAGTTAATGCAGCATTATACTATAATGTCCTCAGTTATAAAGAGGACAGAGGCTGATTCAGATCTTCCCCAAGGAAGTTTTCCAAGCATAATAAGGAACAAGGGGGTTTGAACACGCACCCTGGACCACAGCAGTGCTTTCTAGGGACTCGGTATTTTGTTCAAGTTTTCCATTCACTGTAGGGACTGTGTATCCCTAAGGAAGAGTCACAAGTAAACTCCCATTGCCATCTAGCAAGATGGGAGAAGATGAAGCTCTAGTGTCTTTCTCCTTATTATCACACTAGCTCAAAATTAGTTTCTACTCATGTCCCCTTTAGAGGAAATCTAGAAGCCAAGTAAGAGGATTCTCCACACAGTTTATGCATAGCACCGGGCATATGAACCTATTAACGAAGTTTAAGATTTTCTTTTATCATAATGCCAGTCCCTGCAAAGAATCTTGTGGTAGGATTAAAAACCCCATTACTGGAGACAGAGCAATAGGACAGCGAGTAGGGCATTTGCCTTGCATGCGACCGATCCAGGTTCAAACCCAGGATCCCATATGGTCCCCCAAGCACCTCCAGGAGTAATTCCTGAGTGCAGAGCCAGAAGTAACCCCTGAGCACTGTCGGGTATGACCCAAAAAGAAAAAAAAACACTACTCCCTCAGAAGGGAAAGGGGGCAATTCAAAATGGATCAAACAGAAGACTTGTAGGATTTGGAAAAATGATATTAGGCACTTGCCTTGCACACAGTCAACCGGGGTTCACTTCCCAGCACCCCAGTATGTTCCCCCAAGCACCACCAAGGAGTGATCTCTGAGTGCCGAGGCAGGACTAAGCCCTGAACACAACCAGGTATATCCCAAAAACAAAATAAAAAACATAAGACTTGGATAAAGAAATAATTTATATATAAACTATATATAAATATACAAAGTGTATATTATATAAATTTATATATCAATTGTATATAGAGAGTATATATAAGACTATATACACACTTAAAATAGTATAAAACTTCTAGAAAAAATGGGAGTTTGTCAATATTAGTCTTGGAAATGGTTTTTTTTTGTTATAATAACTAAACTATAAGCTCTAAAACTAATTAAAAACAAATATATCAAATGGCAAAGAGTCTGCCAAGAAACAATTAGTAATTGGAAAAGAAAGTAAATAGAACGGGAGAGATTTTTTTGGCAAGTCATTTAGGAAAAGGTTAGTAACCAAAATAAAGAAATAAAGAACACTTGCAACTTACTTAACAAGAAAAATAATCCAATTACAGATGGCTGGTCTAAGGGCCGGGACAATAATACAGCAGGCTGGGTGCTTGTCTTGGGTACGCCAGGACTGATCCCTGAGAATAGCCAGAGCAAGTCCTGAGCACCATGAGGTGTGGACCAAAAACCAGGTGTAAAAAAAAAATTAGACTAAACATCTGTTCAAAAGGGAGCCATTCGAGAAGAGGAAAGCTGTTGGTATGCTTGGCACTTAGCTCTCAGTGTCTCTTTATGAAATAAGTTTAAGTGGTTCTTTATCAGCATTTTGTTACCTGAGTTTATTGTGAGATACAGCATGTGCTCAACAGCACATGATTTTTTCATTACCACTAATCATCCATAAAGGTAAAATTAAAATGAAATATTATCTTAAATTTGTTGGAATGGCTATCATAAGAGAGAACAGATGCTGATGAGAATGTAGTGAGAAGTGACCCCTCATATGCTGTTTTTAGCTATTTAAGTTAGTCCAACCTCTAGTTTAAAAATTCTGTAATAAAGTCGCTCAAAAAATTTAAACCATCCTATCCTACCTAAATACACCAAATTTTCACATCAAGGTGTGTGTGTGTGTGTGTGTGTGTGTGTGTGTGTGTGTGTGCGTGTGTGTGTGTATGAAAAAACAACAGGTATCAATGGAATATTGGCCTCCTATCTTTATGGAAAATATTTACAATATCCAAGCTCTGGAAACCTCCCAAATGCCCAAAAATGTACAAATGAATTTTTTAAAAGATGTGGTATGTGTGTAGAATGGAATATTATTTGATCCCCATTTGGTGCCCTGAACTCTGCCAGGTGTTATCCCTGAGCAACAAGCCAGGAGTAAGCCCTGAGCACTGCCAGGGGCGGGCCTTCACTCCCCCCAAAAATTTTAATTCTAGTTCAAAAATATCCCTAGAAAAGGTCCTTTTAAGTTTTATTAAAACAGAAGAGTTAGAAAATAAAATTACACAGTATTAAATAGCAAATATATTCTCATTACTAAACTATTAAGCACACTGCATAACAAATATATTCTCATTACTAAACCATTAAGCACACTGCATAACATACTCTAAATACAGATACTGGAATAGCTTCCCACAGCCCACTCATTGGTGGAAAGTCTCCACTGTACTATTAGAGCATTGGTCTGGCTGGCTCTGAGTAAAGTGCTCCTGTGCGGTTGTTCACTCCATGGCTTAAAGGCCAGCCACACACTCTAGGGGTAAAGGCAGCTCAGATAGAGAAGGGAGCACCAAATAAAGGGTGCTGGGAAGATCCGCCCATGATGGGAAATGCATGCTGAAAATAGACTATAGACCGAACATGATTGCCACCCAATGTCTCTTCTGCAGACCACAGCACCCAAAAGGAGAGAGAGAACAAAAGGGAGTGCCCTGCCACAGAGGCAGGGTGGGATGGGGGTGGGGGTGTGTGAGGGATACTGGGATTGGTGGGGGTGGAGAATGGGCAGTGGTGGTGGGATGAGTACTCGATCATTGTATAACTGAAACCCAAGCACAACAACTTGTAAGTCTACAACTGTACCTCATGGTGTTTCACTAATAAAAAATAAAAAGAAAAAGAAAATTTAAAAAAAAAGTGCTCCTGTGCTACCCAGGTTTGTGAAGCTCCTCCACAGGAGCCATTCGAGAAGAGGAAAGCTGTCGGTATGCTTGGCACTTAGCTCTCAGTGTCTCTTTATGAAATAAGTTTAAGTGGTTCTCTATCAGCGTTTTGAGTTTATTGTGAGATACAGCTTAAATGATCAAAATGACATAGAATGACATTTTGCTATTACAAATGCCATGATATAACCACAACCATATTGCCAGCACACCAGAGGACTTCCCTAACTATGACAGTTGGATGCTCCTTTTGAACACTTGTTCTGCTCACTGCGGGTGGGAAAAAGTGTCTACCTGCCTGATTGATCAAGAAGAGTTAGGTGGGGGCCCTGGGCCTTCTGAGCACTGTCTGGGAGACACTCAACTAAAATCAATTCTTTTGTTCTCACTTGTACAACAGAGGATGCCCGGTCCCAATCCAAGTAGGCTTGGAGATCTTGGCCCCTGGCTGCCCTCGCTGGAGCCCCTTGGAGGGGAGCAGGTCGAGCTTTCCTCCCTGTCCCGACCAGGGCTCCGGCAGCCAAAGACATCCAGGACCAGCCACCACCATGCTGAGACCACTCTCCGCACACATGAAGGTACTGGCAGAGGGACAAAGTCACGCGGGTTCCAGGGCCAAGATCTCCAAGCCTACTCGGATTGGGGCCAGGCATCCTCCACCCAGATCCTCCAAACTCCAGTAGGTGGGGGTCACACCCACCAACTGGCCCCCTGGTGCCGTGTAATCCCATCAACGGCCAAGACCCAGAGACTATAAAAACCAGCTCCCGGAACCCACGCGGCCGCATTATTATGACATCTTATTATCTCATTCCTACTTTGGACAAACTGGCAGTCTACCGAATGTGACCTGCCCACACGGCAGAGTCTGGCAAACTCCCCGTGGCGTACCTAATA